ACATGCACAATAAGCATTTTCTGGATTAATAGAGTGCATTGTATATTGCAAATACATGTATAATTATCCACAATAGTGTCAACATATTCAAAACACTAGTTCTTTTTCAGGTTCTAGTTCTATATTTGTAACTGATCGTTTTTCAAAAATCCAAATATTCTGCATTGTATTCCGCCTTGTAAGCTTTGAAAATGCGTCGTGAATGTTATCTAAGGAATGAATTTAATACCTCCCCAATTTATACGGTATAAATTGGGTTTGAACAGTTTACGCTTTATAAACTACGAAGCTCTAAAACCCTTTCATTACGACCATAAGAACTAAGATACTTGCTACATTGTTAACTACAAATTTGTTACGAACTTTTAAAAAGACTAAAACTTTTCTAGCCTTTTCGACAGTACGTATTTGTATTTTATTGAAAACAGTGCTCATATAAAGGAAAATATTGAGAGCTAAAATTTTCGTATATCAATTTAATATGGAGTCGTGATATTTTGATCACTAGCTCTTCGTTTTATAGTAATCTTACTGGACAGAGCCTCTATACCAAACCTTGGGAAAATCTGAATTGCAACGAAATAGAATGTACCCTTTCTGGGCTTATTTATGTTGATGAAACCAAGGGTTCACTTTATAAAAGAATATCGAGGTATAGATTGCAGATTAACAACGCGGGCCAGCAGCTTCTATACAAGCATTTTAATTTACCTGATCATTCTATTATGTCAATGAAAGTTAGAATTCTAGAAAGTTTTACCATCATACTAATAGCCCATCACTGAGTACACCTTTCTGTAGACAACGAGAAGAATACTGGATTAGAAAAGTAGACACGGCCTATCCATATGGTACCAATGACAATGTCGATAGTGTTGGGAATCTTTCAAGCCCATAGTGTAGCAATGTGATTGTGATGGGACTTTTTAACAGTACAAGGAGACGCAAGCGTAGTCATGAACATTGGTCTTACAATAAACCTATTATACACGATGTCTCCTTTGATTCACTACTACCTTATGTAAATAAACAATTAGGCCTTCATAACATTCGTACCAACCTTTGAAAGTTTTGAAAAGTCTATTTGTAAGTCAAGGAAAGTCCATTTTTGGATTCCTCGACACCAGAATACAGGCTCGGATCTGTGGTTATGGATATTGCATATCATAGGCTTTTTAAACCGACACGTTTTACGGAAGAAAATGCAGCTAAAACTACCCGTTTTTCCCTTAAACTCCAATATGCCAACAAACGAATTGACGCGGTTAATATAAGTAATATTCTTAATCACAAAAGGGTCCAGTCTTGTATTACACCATATTTCCAATTAAAGACTACACCCTGTATTTCCTATAAATATACATCAACTATTGCTTTAAAACTTTTTAATTACTAGTAAACTTTACAGAGCCTTGATATTGAGCATCAGACACATAATCTTCCATCGTGTTCATGTTCTTCTTCAACCTACAACTATATAGTCCTGCTGAACGCGTTATTACTGGTGGCGTAAATATAGTTTATAATGAGAACCTTAAATCACTTATTTTAAAAGGGCCAAAATTTAGGGAACCCCGATTTTTTAACTGGAATCATAATTTCATAAATATTATGAATTCTGTGAAAGATTACGCCAGGCGATGGGCCAGACATGAAAAGAAGACCTTGACACTTTGTCAGACTGGATTAAATGTATTAGATGTATGTTAAAATCTCGCATTAAGCGATTGAGGGGAATTATGAAAGCCGTCTATCCTTCTGTGTTCAATAATTCAGAAGTTAAAAAAGAATAAGTTAGACTACACGATCTGTATGTACTGGTCCCAGCTGACAAAGCTGGTAACAACATTGTCTTTGTATGCTAGGCTCATTATTTTAATTGTATTTTAGAATTGGGATTTTATTCTACAAGTGGCAATCCAACTTATACCCATAGCTCCCTTTCTAAGGAGGAATTTTTCAAAATCATATGTCAGTTTTGAATATTTTTAATATTCCCAACAACCAAAATGAATTTGAATTACCATATTTATACTGGATTTTGAAACTTCATAAAAATCCTTACAAAGATATATAGCGGGTTCCAGGAAATGTTTTACCAAGCCTTTTCTTTACTCCTCACTAAAATATTAACAGCAGTGAAGGAGAAACTTCAGGGGTATTGTGCAACAATATATTCGAGAAGTAATGTAAATCAGATGTGGATACTTAAAAATTCCAAGTCACTTTTGGAAAATTTGAAATCACAAAATTTTACCGAAATCAATAACATAAAAACTTGCGACTTTTCAACTCTGTATACAACCATTCCCCACGAAAAATTAAAGTCCAGGCTTTCTGACATCATTGAGCTGTTTTTTTTTTTAATTAAAAATAGAACACGAAAATTTACTTACCTTGTCATTGGTCATTTGCAAAATTATTTTGTTAGAAAACATTCTGATTGTACACACAAGTACTCTGAAGTTGATATTAAAAAGATGCTTGAGTTTCTGATTGACAATATCTATGTGGTTTTTGGAGACCAGGTCTTCAAACAATCTGTTGGAATTCCAATGGGTACCAATTGCACCCCGTTGTTAGCAGAACTATTTTTGTATTCATATGAAGCAGAATTTATTCAAAATCTTATACATGAGAAAAAGAAATCTCTTGCTGTGGCCTTTAACTCGACATTTAGATATATCGACGACGCATTATCAACTAACAATAGTTAGTTCCAGTCATATGTCGACAAGATATATCCCAGTGAGCTTGAAATGAAAGATACCACAGAGTCTGACACATCAGTTTCATATTTGGATAATTTATTAGAAAGAGACGTTAATTGTAATCTAACAACAAAGCTTTGTCTTTCACCTTTCAATCGTCATCTTCCCTTACATCTCACTTGTATATAGGGTGTATATCCCTCAGTTGATTCGATACGCAAGAGCATGCTCTACGTATGAACAATTTCTAAAACGAATTAAGTTATTGAAACAAGTTGATTAAACAAGCATATCAACAGTCTCGTTTAAAGTCATCATTTAGTACGTTCTATGGTCGATACCATGACCTTGTCAGCAAATACATATCTATCATTAAGTCATATGCTGACTGTCGTTTTTCATACTTATTGTTAGGCCATTATTTACACACTGAATTGTCGACGGATTTTTCCCTTATTTCACGATCATGACAAGGAGCACAAGGCAGGTGTGACTGGTCTGCAGGGGATGCTCACTCCTCCATGGCACCTGATCCCACTTCTGATGTTTTTTGGAGGTCCGTGTTTGCTCTGCTCCCGATTTGTATTCTTTTAATGGACTTTGAGCTTGAATACTGTTCGTTATCTCCATATTTCATCAAAAAGTTTTATTAAATACTGGCTAACGCTATGATCAGAATATTTATTGATGTGACAGGTCAACAGCAGATGCTTACTCCTCCTAGGCGCCTGATCTCACCTCTGGTGTTTTCTTGTGTTTTTTTTTTTCCTGTTCATAATTTTGAATTTTTGAAAGTGATCTCTGTTTTTTATCTTCATCTTTTTTCTTATATTGATATGCAAGCCTCCTCATCAGTTTAGATTCATATTTGTTCAAATTATGACCCCTGGGCGACGGTAGGACTACAATAGGGGTCAAAGTTCTACAATTGAAATTGGATTATCTTATATAAATAAGAAAATAAAATTATATATATATATATATATATATATATATATATATATATATATATATATATATATATATATATATATATATATGTATATATATATATATGTGTGTGTGAATCCAAATATTTTGGAGCACAGTGGGAGTCAAATTTTTATATAAGCAAAGATTTTTTTTAAAAATGTTCTGCAGAAAAGCAGAGCTACAATAATTTACATCGATCTATCCTCATAGATTGCACATTCAAGTTTATTCTCTGTGTGGCGCAGTGGTCAGTGCGTTTGCTCTTAAGTTGCAGTGTAAGGAATTGACCCTTACGTCGGGGTTTCGAATCCCACTGCGGGACGTGGAGATCGGTCCTTCGGATGAGACCGTATAAACCAATGTTCCCTGTCGCGGTAGGTGCTGGCACGAAAAAGATCCCTCACTACTCAATGACCTTGAGTGCCGAGTATAGATCTAAATTTGCTGCCCTCGGCCCGCAAATGGCGGCGTCTCCATATGAGCGAAAAATTCCCGAGAGGGACGTTTTAAAACAACAAACAAACATACCTTCTCCTCGTATTACCAGATTTCCTCACTTAATTGTAATCATGCATTACAAATCAAGTCATACAAAAAAAAATTACAATTAAACAATTTTATTTTTATGTTAAATCAGAAGTATAGGTATTTCAAAGATCTCACACCACAGAAAGGACAAATGTTTGTAACTCACTGCATTTTTTGAAAGAATGTTCTGCTTTGTCCAATGGTTGGAAATATACCTTTGAATCTTTTCAGATTCTTAATTCAGAATTAATTATTTACAGTAAACATTAAAAGTAAGAAGCACTTTTGAGTAGAATGTTGAGCTCAAGGTTTTCAAAATTAATATCTTGATATAAAGAATTAAGTGATGAACTAATATTAAAGTCACTGATTCGAACAAATGTCATCTAATTTAAGATTTTAACTAAAATATTTAGTATTAATATGAAATATTTCAGAATATGGGACTGTAGAAATTGACACGTTCAGCATAACTGATTCCAGAAGATTTGTTTGTATTTGTATTACTGTTTTCTATCGGAAGATCTGCACATTACTTATAATTTGTATGTCTGAAAGATTGTCAGCCGCAGGTAATTTAATCTGAGTAAATATAAGATAGGGAATTGAAAACTTTTAAATATACTCGGTACTGGTAATGTGAAGTGTATCAGACGCTGCCACAAAAATTGTAAAGGTGTAAAATGACCTATGAATGACATTAACGACCGCCTTATCCTTACGTCTGTTTGTTTGTTCCTAAGATAAAATACTTAGGTTTATTGCTTGCTTTGTGGACTGAATGAGTTCCCACCAAAGTATCAAATGTAAATCTAACAAAAGCCGAGAGCTAATGGATTGGAGGGCAGATAAAAACAAAGATACTTAATTTACATCACACTTTGGCGGGAAACTCGCCCGGGAACTAGCGTCAGAATGAGGAAGCTGAAATTCCCCCTCCTGTTTCTGTTGGTGCTTCCGTTTTGTAAGGGGGGTAGGTACAGACGGTTCATAGAATGGGGGGCAGACCTCGCCCCTGGGTCATTTTGCTCCTCGCGACAATCGTCTCCGTGTTGTTCCGGGAGAGACGACAACTGCACGGTGGAGATTCTGGGGAGTCTCTGCTATTGTGACGTGTTCTGTAATAGGGCATCTACCGACTGTTGTCCAGATTATGCCAGCACCTGTCAGGGAATCGCACCCCCAGTCACTAAAGGTAAGTCCCTTATGTCTAAATTCTTCTATCAAAAATGAAAATACTGTTCATCAAATGATAAAGTATTTATTCTCGTTTCCCGATTTCTAAGCGAAAAGATTTTTTTTTCTGTAAAGATTTATTTCATCTAAATTCAGATGGAATTCATTTTTATCTGAGAGATTGTTTCTCTGGTTTGTTTGTATTATTTTTACTTTCTTTCCCCGCCACTAATCTGTAGTAAAGGCTACGAGGGTGTGCAGATCCTTATTTCATATAAACAAAATGTCTCGCTACCCTTTGTGTGTCGAGGCGCCTCATCACATACAATTCTGCATTCTCAACTTTTTTTTATCGGATGAGTAAGCTTTTCTTCTCTTTTTTTCATTTTGATGATATGATATTTGACATAAAAATAATATATTTATTATATTGTCTATTTATAGTCCCCATATAATCAATGCAAACGCAAACGGTTCATAACACTACATTATTTACTAAAGAACTGCGAACGATAGTATTGGTCAAGTCAATTTTCAAAGATTAACATTTCGTATTTATAAAAATATATTTGTGAATTTTCATAAAACATAACTTATTTGGGAAAACAAAGAGATAATTTTGGTAAAACTTGGGTTTTTCACTATAGAAATAAACGGAAAATATTTTTACCCCCCCCCCCTCCGTGAAAAAAAAATTCAAAAAAAACCTTTTCACAGGTAGAACATGAATTCCACAAATTCAGACCAAATCTTCTTTTGCTGTTTCAACGGGAGGGGGGGGGGGCATATGTTTACAGACAAAAAACAGAAAAAATGGTCATTTTATTACCAATTTCAAGTGAGATTACAAATTTAAAAAATATGCACTTTATCAATCTTATACGTTGAATTTTACATAAGTTAAACATACGGAAAGATTTAAGGGTCATTTATCCATTTCCATGCATATTTGAAAATCCGGTGATGCTTCAGAGGCTGGTTTCAATGAATAAAATTTTCTAACCCCCCCCCTCCCTTATGAAAACAGTTGTAAAAAAGAACAATTATCTTTTTGACACTGGTTTTAAAATTATTAATCAATTACTAATGAACTCTTCTTTGCATTTAATTAAGTTTTAATGACCAAAATATCATCAATAGTTAAATGGGTGTAATATGTATAGGCGGGAATCGAGAGTTAGCGTGCATAGTTCTTCGAGGCCGTTTTCACTAGATAGTGCACGTGCAGCGCCGGTGATCGACACCTCAACAAACGTTGCATACAATGGTTGCAACGGCAGGAGCCAGTCGTGTATTTGAGCAGGAAAAACATTTGGCAAGCCTATCGCTGAATTTTTATCCAAACATTTTGATGGGAAAAGATGCATGTCTAACGCACTACGAAAGGAAAAGAGATTTTTCTGATGAATATCAAACCACATTAATTCACCGCCAAAAGAGTCCATAATTGTATATCATTAAATGATTGAATAATTCCCAGCTCTCTGATTGCTGACATTGTTGCCCCCTGCCCCCCCCCCCCCTTTCCAAATGAAATGCATTTACACGTGTACTTGTTTTCTACTTGGATCAAAAATAGTTTGAGAACTTCCAAATCGATACAATTAGTTAGAAACATGTTGGAAACTTCAAAGTTACATGTATGTTCATCTACACCGACCTTCCAAGTGAACATCACATTTTTTCCAACTTCTGTTTGTTATACCAAAGTTATAAGTAAAGTTATTTCACCTGCATCCGAATCCAGGTGAACAAACCATTTGTTTTTTCTACACCGGACCAAAAATAAATCAAGAAATTCCACATTAATACAGCTGGTTATGCTTATTTTAATCCCGCTTATCCCACTACACAAACAAGAAAGATGGGCAATGTTTGTTTAGCAAGTCTGTATCATTTAATTATTGAATAAAAATTAAAACAAAACAATTACTTGTATATTATTACTGTTTTTTTTTCAGTCAATACGGCGATTTAGCAACCCTCGGTGTACAATATTCAATAGCCCTTCGGGCTTGGTGAATGATTCAGGTAGCTTAATCATGATGTATTGACCTAAAAAAGTGAATGTATGCAATATCTTTTAAACTTGAATAGATTATTTTTTAATGTTTCAGCGGGATGCGTATTTGATGGTAAGGAGTACAAGCCTAGTGAAGTCATCAGGGATAACTGCAATCTTTGGTAGGAATATACGTAAAAGACAGAGCTGCAATGGTTTTATATCTATTTTTTTTTTCATATTTGAAATTGAGGTGTCGAGAACAAGAAAATTATCAGTAATTGCGACACGTATCTCGATACACACACAGGTCGCACGGAAAACTACAATTCATATAATGTTTAATTTTTAGAGAACGTTGAATGACCAAATGCGAAACTTTAGTGGACCATTCGAATGAAAACAATGAAATAATTGCTTTATTATTTGGTATTATTCACTGATTTATTAATAGATGTATTGATATTAGAACTCTTTCCTAATGCCCAATGTTGCATCTTATGGTTGTGTCTTCCCCTATTTTTAAGATTTTCTTGAATTTTGTGAATGTATGTTTCAGCACAGCGATGTCTTTTCAATATACGGTGCCCTCGATTTTTTTTTTTCAGTACCCAGCCGTGTGTGTTTGAATTTATGAAAATATTGATCAGTTCTTCAGTGTTGCATGTTGCACAGTAAATAAATCAGACCCATCTGTGTATAGCTGGTCATACACATCGAACAGCTGGATATGTCTTAGCATATGTTTCTCCAATCTGTATTTTTGTAAATTTGTAAACAATTCTACCATTATTTGAAAGCTGTCGAAAGAGATTTATCCAGTCTTCTCACAACGTAAATTTCTCCCAGTTCTGACACCCTGGTGCCATACCGAAAATTGTGTTGATATATGAAAGTTAAACAAATTATTATCATTTGAAATTTGTACTATAACCAAATTTAATCCTCACAGCACTTATATAGACAATTAATTACAAGATAAATTCAGTATTTTGCGCAGATATAAAAATGATTTGAAATGTTTATATTTATTTCTAGGAGAAAAAGAGTATTTTTGAATAATTTGAAACATGAAGACAAGATCTGTTAGGTACATTGATTAATGTTCAACATTAACATCACTTATCGGATAAAACATACATGTTCACCAATGAACATCACATATTGTGTACCACTCACATATTCAATAATAACCACCGTCTGTCTAGAAAAACTATATGTTCAACAATGAACATTGCTTATCGGGAAACACGTCAGCCTAGAAAAACTAAATTGTTCAACAATGAACATCGTCTGTCTAGAAAAAACTAAAATGTTCACAATGAACTTTGTCTGTCTAGAATAACTTAAATGATCAACAATGAACATTGCTTATCGGGTAACATGTCTGTCTAGAAAAACTAAAATCTTCAACAATCGGGTGACATGTCTGTCTAGAAAACTAAAATGTTCAACAATGAACATCGTCTGTCTAGAAAAACTAAAATGTTCAACAATGAACACTAAAATGTTCAACAATGAACATCGTCTGTCTAGAAAAACTAAAATGTTCAACAATGAACATCGTCTGTCTAGAAAACTAAAATGTTCAATAATGAGCACCATCTGTCTAGAAAACTAAAATGTTCAACAATGAACATTGCTTATCGGGTAACACGTCTGTCTAGAAAAACTAAAAATTATCATCAATGAACATCATCTATTGGTACCACTTACATATTCAACAATGACCATCGACTGTGGGGTAAGAATAAAATGTTCAACAAATCAACAATGAACATGGTCTGTCTCTTAACACTAAAATGTTTTAAATGACCAATATCTGTCGGATAACACTAAAATGTTTAACAATGAACATCGTGAGGAAGGTAAACAATTAATTTTTTATCAATGAACATCTACTAACAGCGACTGTTAGGTGCATTTAAATATGTTATCGTGTTAATGCGAAATGTCTTAATTAAAATAAATCACCAGATTATTACTTAAAATATTTCTACGCTCTGAGACAGTTACTACGTGAATCTACAGCTCCGCCTTTGCACTGAATGTTTACTTCTAAACTTAAAATTTCATTCACTGTGCTGAAGAAAAATGAGAAAATCTCTAAGCATTACAGTTATTAGCGTAAAAATCTAGGCCAGTTTGCAGAAAGGTTGACCAATTTCGCACTACAGGATATACAAGTACTGGAGTGACCCTAATTAATAGAAGAAATAGAAAAGGGCGGAATCGTAAGCCAGATGTTCAATCATAAAAAGTCCAGTCTGCTGTACAGACAGGGAGATACAATCTATGGTTCCCGTTACTGTGATAAATAGTTTTCTTCAAAGAATATTTGTGTTGTGATAAATCTGTATTATTATAGTAAAAGGAGCCGAGGAGAGAGATGGCAGTGTTTGATGCCAATCAGCTGTTTATGGAATTTATAATAACTGTCCCTAACGAGATGGGGGATTTATCTTTTAACACGTCATTAATATATTCGAAAATCAGCACTCATACATAAATATTTTATTTTGGCTGCGAAATGATTAATAGTAAAACATAAAGATATGTAAACAAAACAATTATTTAGGAATGCATGGAATGAAACAAAAACAGGGAAATATTAAAACCCCAAAACTTTATTTGCGTGTTGTTTTGGAAACAAAATGATGGATATCATTTATTCATGATATAAATGTACATAATAAGTATATTGTTAATAATTTTGTGATTTTTGACAATGAGATTTAAGTCAAAAATCTCGTTGAAGAATGTTCCATCTTTCTTGGGTGAAAATTTTCATTAATCTCGACATAAATATGTATAGATATATTTCACAAGCAAGCTGACAAGCAAAAATTTCATTAATACCATTAAATTTTAATTTAAATGTTGTTTTGCCAATGCTAAGTTTTGATCTAAGAAAAGATTTTCGACATTTTTGTTGATCACATCATTAACATTCATTGTGGTTACATCATGCCCATCCTAAATAATATATATGGTTGTCTTCCTTTGAATTTCTTCATTTAATTGATTTCTTAAATGAAATTTAAAGTACAGTATACTTTGCCATTTAAATAGGTTTGCACGCTATTTACACACTTGAAATTACACATTGTATAGCAAGTATTATGCATCTAATAGAAAGATTTAATTGCACTCTTTGTTTCCCAAAATAAAAACAATCCAAAAATTTCCATGAGAATTCACCAAAAGTGACTAACTTTGAAAAAAAAAATCAATTTAGTGGTCTCTCTGTAAATCAAAATTTATGCAAATTTTGTTTCAAGCGTCAATTCTCAATTGCAAACTATCACAATTCTAAAAGCATTTTGATATCTATGTCAAAGTGCCCGATCCTTCATGAAAATCACTTTCTGAGAGACAGAGATTTTGTAATGAAAAACTATGTCTGTTAACATTAGCTTATGTTTTGTCTATCATCACTATTCGATGAAATTCGATGTTATAACTTAATAAAACCAAGACATTAGTTGTTGTTATTTATTTTTTTATATGAACTCTAAAAGATAGAATGTGAGAATCATTTTTTTCTTCAAATTCATTAACATAATGTTAATACAAGGAATATGATTTTAAATGTGTCAGATAATTTCTTTTAACTCCTGGATTTGGAAAGAAAAACTGACAAAATCTTTTTTAAAAAAAAGTATACACTAAACATAGAAGAGGTTGTTTTCTTACAATTAGTGTATTTCTGTCTTTCTTTCTTCTTCTAGCACGTGTTCACGGGTACAGTTATTTCGCTACGACTGGGTGTGTTCAAACAATTCCTGTCTGATCGACTTGGAACGATTTAACAAAACAGCACAAAACTTAGGGTAAGAGAGAGAGAGAGAGAAACTCTTAACAAGACAAAACAAAGCTTTAACAGTTTTTTTTCAAAGGTGTACGTTTTCATGTTAAATTAACTTTTGTTTACTTCTGTGGTTCTCTGTATATGTTTGAGATTTTATAAACTGCAAAGTTCACATTTCATGCATTTTAAATGCTCACTGCAGATGGAAAACTGCAAACTACACTCGTTTCTGGAATAAAACGTTCATTGATGGAATCAAAGAAAATGTTGGCATAGCAACCGAAAGCAAAGCTCAAAACATGTCTTCGCTTCAGAATAAAGTACAGAATGATCTCCCGGCCTTCTTTGACTCTAGGAAAAAGTGGAAGTCATGGATACATCCGGTTCGTGATCAAAGAAACTGCGCATCTTCCTGGGCGTTCTCCACAGTAGGTAAATTTTACACAGAGCGCCATTTGTCGTGTTACAATCTTTCTGTGAAAAATTATGTTTTGCGAAACTTGCATTTATCTTCTCAGACGTTGCGGCAGACAGATTGGCGATTGAATCCAAAGGATTACTGACCAATCAGCTTTCGCCTCAGCATCTTCTGTCATGTGACACAAGGCGGAAACAGAGAGGATGCGAAGGAGGGTCTGCAGAAAAGGCTTGGTGGTTCATTAAACGAAAAGGGTACTTCTCTAACCTGCTTCTCCTTGCAATATAATATTTTCGATGTATTGTATATTTCAGCCAAACTTTTTTTTAGAATCATGACTGAGGAATGTTATCCTTATAACGTCACTCAATCGAACACTTCTGCCAACAAATGTCTGGACAACTTGGACACATGTCCGAACACCAACTCTTCCACATCCAAAATTGTGCTATACGTCACACCACCGTACAGAGTTGGGGAAAGTGTGAGTATGAATTTCCTGCATGTATACCTGTATCTCCACAGTGTAGAGATTGTACTCTTGGCCATCTGAGGTCAAAGATCACTTTTTGCATCATTATGGGGTATACCCATATCAAATATTTCCCAACATGCATTTTAAGGACCCGGTGTTTGACAGCCATCAAACTTTATATGCATCCTTGTTGCAGCAAATATATATTTCTTTACTTCTTTCCACATTTTATACTCACACCCAAAGGAACTCAACTTATAATTACATTTTCTGTGATAGGAAGAAGAAATTAAAACAGAGATATATAAGAGTGGACCAGTACAAGGTATGCTGACTCTTTATCTCCTGCAAGGCAGGGATAACTTTTTTTCTTGTGGACTAGGGTAAATATACATTGCAATTTATTTGTAGGTGGGCATTCTAATAAACCAGGGGGGAAAATAGGTCATCAAGGTTAATTTTTGTAATTTGTAAAACTATTTTCAATTTGTTATAGAAACATATCTTGAACACTGTTCGGCTTATGGATATGTCAACTTGCCAGCTGATGCTTTCTAAAGTTGATAACGTTGGTGTGTTTTATTTACCTATTTCAAACATTATAAGGCCAAAAAACACACCTTGCCAGTTGATGCATCTTGGGGTGTGAAGGTGTTTTATATATAGAAGGTCATCATGACCTTATTTGTAATTTAGTAGCTACATGTATGCTTAGTCAAATATTGATGGATATGTTTATCAGATCTTTTCAGTTAAGTATGGATTCTTCTTATATTTATTGTATTCAAAAATTTTCTCGGATTCAAAAAGACAATATTACTAAATGATGATATCAATTAAATTATATTATATCTTATCATAGTAGCAAGATCGGGTCAAGGTCATTATTTTTTTCTCTCAAGGATAAAGAATTACTACTACGTATTTCTGTATTGAAATATTGTATGTTCATCTTTTTGGATAAAAAATAATACAACATAAGATCATAAAACTCTTAACAAACAATGAAAGATACATTATCCAGCAAATGCTCTACCAAGCCCTTATCTTTACTCCTTACAAAAATATTAGCTGCTGTAAAGGACAAACTTCAGATGTACTGTGCTAAAGCATATTCTAGAAGTGGTGTAAATCAAATGTGGATTCTCTTAACCTCCTTTTAGAAAATTTAAAAATCACCAAATTTTTCAAGAGTCATGAACATCAAAACGTACGCCTTTTTACACTTTTTACAACCATTCCTCACCAGAAATTAAAGACTAGGCATTTTTGGTATCATGGACAACTGCTTCCTCAATAAAAATGGAACTCGGAAATCTTCATATCTTATGATTGGTCATCAACAATTACTTTGTTATAAATCACTCATTCCACACACAAGTACTCTGAAATTGATATTAAAAAGATGCTAGAATTCCTCATTGACATCTTTTATGATGAGGCCAGGTCTTCCAACAAACTGTTGGAAATTCTAGGGGCACTAATTGTACTCCTTTTTGTTCTCCTGTTTTGTATTCCTATGAAGCAGAATTTATTCAAAAAATTTCCACTTGTCCACTTGAGAAGAAGAAAGCACTTGCTGTGGCCTTCAACTCGACATTCAGATATATCGACGATGTTTTATCAATTGATAATAGTTATTTCCATTCATATGTCGACTCGATATACCCCAGTGAACTTGAAATAAAAGACAACGCAGATGTCTGCCACATCTGTTTCATTTTTGATGTTTTACTGACTATAGACGATAAGGGCCAACTAACAAATAATGAGATGACTTCATGCAGCTTTTTCATCGTCATTTTCCTTATAATATGTAGTAATGTTCCGCTATCACCTGCATATGCTGTTTACATCTCCAAGCTTATTCGATACCCAAGAGCATGTTCCAAGTACGATCAATTTTTAAACCGAGGCAGGCTACTGACAGATTAGTTGATCTTACAGGGATTTCAATTACCTCGTTTAAAGACAGCATTTAGTAAATTCTATACCGGTATATAAGGACCTTGTATATATATCATTGGACCGTATTTGACTGACGTGTTTCATACCAATTGTGAGGCTTTTCTATGTTTTTATACTAAATTTGATTACGGAATATTCTGTCTACCTGATCAAAATTTAGGGTTCACGGAGGGTGTGACCGGTCAACAAGAAATGCTTACCTCCTCCTAGGCAGCTGATTTCCGGGGGTCTTTGATTTATGCCCTGTTCATAGATTTGTATATTTTGTAAAAAAAAAAAAAAAAAAAAAAAAAAAAAAAAAAAAAAAGAAAAAGAAAAAAGAAGATGGGTGAATAAGGCGTGCAGAATGCCTATAGCTTCAGATATAAATAAAATCATATTCAATTTGTGAATTAAGTATTTAAAATAAAGTTCTCATTATTGAAATTTATGAAATTATGATCAACAAAACTTTTCTGAGAAAAAAGATCTCGGAAAAAATTATTCTTTTATTAAAAAAATAAAATGGTATTCGTGGAATTCGAACCTCTATCAATAAAAATCCGGTGTATCATATTGTTTTGAGACTAACACGCTAACCACTAAGCACGGAGCTCCTGACGAATAGTGGCATTTAAATCATGATTGTGATATGACCCTTGACTCAATGGACTTCAAGTATTTCTCGGAAAGATGCGAATGCTTCGTCATAAAAGTGTACTTTTAAGGTATAGTGGGTCTTTGCTCCATGTTTTTGTAAACCAAAAAATGTATACTTTTATGCAAACTTTTATTATCAACTTTCAAAAAAATGGAGCGAAGACCGACTCATATCGAAAAATTTTGTTAAAGTATGAGAAAATGATCCTTTTTGTCCTCTTTAGTGTGTGTATGCTATTTCGTAGGCAAATAATTTCAGTCTTTGTGAGACTTTTGTAAATTGTAGAGATTTAGCATAAAATATACTTTAATGTTAGATGAAATATCAAAGAAAATTTTTATATAATTGAGATTTTATTTTTCACTTCATGTTTGTCGCACTATAGGCACTTCGCCCGCCTTGTTCACCCATCTTCTTTATAGATCTATTACTGTTCGCTATCTTCACCTTTTTCATCTATCACCAAATTGAGAGGAATAATTTGACAAAAATAGATGTCGACTTACCCGAATTTCCTCTAATTTTCCTAATTTTTAAAGAAATATTAGTTATTTTTCTATGCTTCTTACACCAAAAATATAGTCCCTATTTAATTTTAAACTCGAATTGCCATTTCTATGTCAAGTTGTATAGTTGTAAAGAGGAAAGAAAAACATTATCTTTTAAATTTCTAATATCTCAGTTGTAGATATAATATGAACTTTTGAATTAGTCAGACACCTGACAAGAATCCCTCCTTAATGCTTCTACAATTTTTGTATTTGCAAACATGACTGTAAATCATGAAGATCTACTTTGGGACTTTTTATTTCCTTTCAAATTGTCTTAACTGGATATCTTACACTATTGAGCCCTCCAAGGGTCATCAGACTCCATCAGAATACTGACGATTCAAAGGGAAGCATTCGTCAACATGACCTAAGTTTTAATTTTTATGGCTGTTCTTTTTTAATTTGTGTTATGAATCTTTATTGCACACTATGACAGTAATGACACCTACTATGTTAATACCAGATTATACCTTGACACTTTATGACTCTAAATAAATGCTACATGATCCATAGTTTTGCGAGACGTAAGACAAAATATGGATCAGATTCTTTAAATGCATGCATTACACAGTCATGTTGGTAAACAAAGACTTCGTCACTATATATACACCGAAAGACTTTGAATGTCCAAGTGATTTGAAACTTGCTAGAGGATCTCGATTTTGTGATGGATGGAGTCTACTTTATTTTAGTCAGCTCATATCTGAAAGTTTCCTGTAATATTCTGTGGCTTTTATTTGTATAGAGATATCGAGGTTGCTAAACTTCACTAGCTCTTTCCAAAACATCTGAAGTTCTAAATTTTGCAATTTTCAGAATCATATCGACTTTGGTTAAGTTGAAAACGTATATATCTGCGAAGTATCTCTGTCCTTATACAGACCATATTACTTTTTTAAAAAGTCATTTTAGCATTAATACTAAATATGATAGTGTTAGGTTAAGACCTATCAGACTCAGAGGTCTTGGATCATTATATTGGCATTTCTATCCCTTAAGCTTCTTGTTTAACTTTGCTTGTACTGAAATAATTATGTCATGAGATTTCTTTGTAGCTACCTTTCAAGTGTCTGCTGACCTCTTTATGTATCGATCTGGTGTGTACAGACACACAGGGGCGGATCTTGTACAGAGCAAATTGGCGGTCAGGATAATCGGGTAAATAAAATCAGTAAAGGAGAAAGTCAGTATAAAGAAAGGATATTTTTCATTTTTAGGTTGAATAGAACATATTATTATAATCTTCTTTTTTTTTTTGCTTTAAACTCACAGATGGGGAGAAGATATTGATAAAAAAGGACGTGTTCGAAAATACTGGGTAAAGTAAAACTGTAGACTGGATATCAAATGAAGTTTGTGAATATTATCAAGTAAAAGTTCTTAAGTGTTAATTTTAATGTTTTAAACTATATATTTTAGATATGCTTGAACAGTTGGGGAACCAAGTGGGGCGAGGAAGGGGCATTCCGAATCGTAAGGGGAGAAAATCACCTAGGCATCGAAGAAAACATCTTGGGAGTTCATGCAGATATGAAACGTTCACTAGCAACCCATCCTAGCGAGGGGATACGTGATGAGGGTCTAATTAACATATACAATCAAAAACAAATAGTGGTCATCAAGAGACCACGGCCCACAGCTCGGCCCTAGAAAAGATATCAAGGACACCCCTTCCCCGGGGACATTTAAAATTAATTATACCGAGTCCGCCAAAATGCTTTTTCTGATGTTTGAAGTGATTAAATGCGTGATTTCGTGTCTCCTATGTATGTATCTGTGCATGTTTTATTTAATGAGGCCTTTATTTTAAGGCCTCCCTCTTTTTGCAGAATTATTGGGCCATTGGGGCATTTCAAACGAAGGACTTTATTAATGGGATGTGACCCATTATTTCTAGGTCAGTGGAGCATTTTAAATGCACTTCTTTGTTAATGGGAAGAAAGATGAATAGTTGTACCTATATGCACCTGCATATAGTAATAAAGTGAAAATTCCTCACAGTTAAATATTCAATGTTAAAACTTTATAATTGATTAGAACATCAAACATATATTCAGTAACTTTAAAATTTTGTACAGAAAATCTGTGTTCTCCTCAGCAGCTTAGAAGTATTTTTCATATTTTTAAAATCAAGTTGGGTGACCAATCGCTCATAAGTTTTGAATTCTTACTTTTTGGAAATTAGGTACTGTAACTCAAACATTTTATTCTTCGAATGTATATTGTTATACTTTATTGAATAAAAATTGCTTGCAGAAATGCCAGTGTTGTAATTTGTTGGTTTTTTTTTTTTTTTTTTTTTTTTTTTTTTTTTTTTTTATAAGAGTGAGAGTTTCTTAACTCTATTTTTGAAGAACTGTTCACCGTTTTGGTGATCTTTCTGAATCACAACAGTGAGATGTGAAAACTTCTTACATACGGCATTAATTTTCTTTAATTTTGAAAATGATATAAATGAAATATGGAGATACCGTATATTCTGTGTACTTTGTTCGAGCATGTTTTATTTTTCAGAATTTTTTTTTTCTTGTTTGTTGTTTTGATCATGCAGATCAGAATTTTTCATTCAATTCTACGTGAAACACAGAGGTATGTTGTTATAAAAAGCAATTTTAAATTCTTAACAAAGCAAGTCCAGAGCTAACTTCGGGGAATGGGAACCTTTCATTATATAAATTCATTAACAAGAAAACATTGATGTAACCATCAATTGTCGCCCGGGAAATAAATAAAGTAAACAATGGAAATGAGTCTTTATCATCAACCCGCTTCGATATGTGTGAAAAAGGCATGCGTCTAAATGATGGAGACGATAGTCGAGAATATTTTGAAAACTTATAGTCGGATGAAAATCGAACAAAAACGATACCCTTTTAAACTTTATCAATCCCTCAAGTAAATGTTGGCTGCATAAAATATAATTTGAAACCAGACACAAGCATCGCCTATTTTCAAAAATATCTTTCACTTTAAGAATATAAAACACGAACTGTGTAAAGTACATTTTTACGTTTTTATGCGATAAGTAAAATTTGATGTTCTAAAAAAAAGAGACCTGTCGTTTTTTCGATAGTAAATGATAAGCAACTTTATATATTAAATATGAAAAACATATATATTTTTACAGATTCACTTTATGGAAGTAAATATATTGTGTATCTCGTAATTTATAAAGGGAAAGAACATTCTGATTAACAATCTTTTTAATGTTTAGAAAACCTTTAATTCTGAATAACTTCTCCCACCTCAATCCCCATATATACCAACACTTAAACTTATATGTATAGAGCAGCCCGGTCCTCCGGGCTGCAATAATAAACAATAATACACGATACCCTCTGCATTTAACGTTTCCTCGGTGTGATATTATGCATGATATAATGCTCACAGTGTCAACAACTTATGTATTTTTTTAAATAAGTGTCCAATGTAAAATGACTTTCATTTATCACATTACAGCGGGGATATCGGAGGCAAGCTACAAAAGACACGGACAATAAATGGAAGCAAACATACATGTGCCCTAAATATAAAATAATGATAAATTTTTTGACGTCGGTCATTACTTTTCATGCATGTTTACGTTTCGAAATAAATCTCAGCTATGATTCTGAACACTAGTACACATTTTTATATAAATAAACCTGTTTTAAATTCTCTGAATATTTCAAAAATTAAAGAAGATTTAATTTTGCATGATTATGTAATGTATTATAACAACAACAGATACATTCTTTGCCAAAAAAGAAAGGATTTCTCATAATGATTTTTGACACATTTTTCCTATTTACTTCACAAGAATTATTAAACACAGATAATAGAGTTATCTCTCTACATAAATTTTGCAGCTTTTTCGTTGTGGACCTCATGTATCTGCAGATCTGTATGTAACTCGCTGGTCTGAAAAAATTGCTGTGGCTCTCATCGTCATCCCATTTTTTTCAGATCTGCAGCTAGGACCTCATGTTACAGGTCACACATACAATATGCCCTGGTTATGCAAATTATGAATTAATCTATTTGAGACAAACTGACTATATCTATGACTGTTGAAACCTTTTTTTTTTTAATTCTGAACATATTTTATTGAATAAATTAGTATTGGGAAAAGTTCTTACAGCCTACTGGTTCCTCTCTTTGTATATTACAATAATTACATAATACTATAATTCTATATTATAATAATTATATATTACAATTATTCATGCAAAATCTTTACAAATGATGCAAATGAAGTTCTGCTACATATCATTTTAAAATTTACAGGTTTCATCAATAAATTTATGAACAAGAGCAAAAATAGTGTTATTAATTAATCTGTAAAGGCAAATTTACATCACTCCAAAATCAATAGTAATCAATTCATCAAGAATAAAAATGTAACAATCCAAAAAGTGTGATATCATATTTTATATTGTTACATCCTGTGTTGATCTTGACGCAAAATATAATAACGAAAAATGTAATTTAATCTATTTTTATTATATTTTGCGTCGTTATTACATTTTGCGTTGTTACAATGCTACAACCAAATAAAGAAATGATATGAATGTACAATGTACATCTTCGTATTTACCACATGAACATCAAGAAGTAAATGCATTGATAATATTGCGTTTATGATATATATAATTCTTAATATGGTGTGGATTATGTTTATATGGTGTTTACCAAGGGAAGCTCTTTGACAATTCTAGCGGAGTTAATTGCAGGTTATCAGCATTTTTTAAAACTTACTATAATTGCCATGATCGCTGTCTGTGGTATGTTTGTCTGTTTGTCTAATATTGGTCAATATTCACCACAGACAAGGTGATATGTTGCTACTGGTTCAGACAAGTGATCTCCTGCGACTTACTGCAGCTGAACCATGATTGATTAGTAACTAATCTGCCATCGACGGAGCAAAGAATACTAATCATTTTATGCGTTATGCTTGTTAGCTAATGAATAATATAATTTCTGTAAAATTTTAAGACACTATCAATATGAAGGTAACATGACATCAAATTCTCGCTTCTCAGGTTTTTCATTTCTTCAAAACTTCAAAAATTAAACGATTTTGCATATTTCGTAGATAAATCCTTCAGGTTGCCTTGGACCAAATGCACCGAATATGAAAGAAACATAAAGTATAACCTTTCTAGCCTGTTGATTTTACGACGGTCCTTAATCATTATTGGGGAGGGGTTTCAAAATCATCCAGCATCTTCCTGACATATTCAGGATTCTTTGATTTTAAGTCGCTTGATATACAAATGTAAGACAAGCTGCCTGTCGCTGGATTTTTTTTTTCCCAACTGATCAATGTTTTTTTTTCCTTGATGGCGCTGTATTCCAATGTTAAGCTTATGGGTGTGAAGAAAGCAGATTTCCGACAGGGGTAGAACAGTGCTTTAAGTTCGACTAAAGAGATCCAAGCGTTTGGTTTTCCTTTTTGCATTTTTTTTATTATGAAAGTGGACACTCAAATCGTCTGATAGAGTCACTCAAAGATAAAGGTTTTTATGAAGATATGTACATATAATTGGTAGTCTAACATGCTGAGGGGTCCGTACCTAGTTGATTCCAAGATCTGAGGGTTTGTATTGACTTAACAATATAATTTTCCTCTTAAAATGATTATATGAATAAAAAATTGGCCTGCGAATATAATATTATGTAGCATATCAAAATTTTGTATATATAACTTTAAAATTATGTGTTTATTTTTATGCACTTATAATTATGAAATATAGGTAGGTAAATAAAAGTTTTACAAACATATTAAATTACAAAGTTATTAAAAGTGTCTGTGTTAATTTATTTTACAATTTTGTTGAATTAATTATTCAAGTTTATGTTTTCAAAGTTATTTACTTGGGGACTTTCGGATTTTCAGCCAAGGTATGTTTGACTTTTTGTTTGGTATTTATCTTGGAAGTTTAGGTATTGTTTCAGGATGAGATTTCTGCAATTTTATATTTTCAATAGTTAAAAACTTGCATGTTTAATATTCTTTTAGATCAGCACAGCACATAGTAAATTTCCAGATCAATATTTATACTGGATAGCCTAAATTCCATAATTTTGGTAAGTCGTTTGTTAAATGTAATTTGTAAATGTAATTTTAAATAATTTAAATTTTATTGCTAAACTTTCTTAATTAAATAGATTCAGTGGAGATCACTTTATAAATTAAATTCATGAGTGTTAAAACTATGAAGATATTGAGTTGATGCGCCATGATACATATTAATTAGTGAGAGACTATTTTATGATTAGTGTTTTGTATTATTATATTAACACGAGAGTATTGTATACATTGCTGAGGTTTTGTACGGGCCAGTTGGAAAGATAGATAGAGATGTTTATTTATTTATTGGATAATATAACCTGCTGAACCTTTAAACTTGTGTTGTCGTTTATTTTAAAATATTTCATGCGCAACAAGGTTGACATTTATAAATAATTAAATATATACATATTACAGATATGGTCCTTCCCTTACTTGGAAATCACAATTGATGGTTGGCCTAATATTTACAAAGAAATGAAGGGAGGGTTGTAGATTTTCAGCATGCAAAACATGACGTCACAATCGCATTCGTATAAAAATTTCTCGAAAGTGACGAAGTTAGGGTAGTGTTAGTGGGGTTGGCGATAATATCGTATTGTTATATCTAACTTAAAGGGATTTAAGATTACCACGAACACTTTCAGTACTTTGATTATGTTTGTGTGTTCAAATTTATATCGAGTTCGGTATTCAAAAAATCTTTCGATCTGCCGACAGATCGAGATAATTCGGTTATTATTACGAAAAGGGAAATAAGTTATAAGAAAAAAGTTTAGAAGAGAAGAGAGGATGTTAGTTTGTTAATTTTGTGACATATGATACTATTCTAATCCAGGTTAGTTGATATAGCTTTTAGCATGTCCCAAACCAAGAATTTGACTGAATCCCACAACGGTCTAGGTCCACCAAGACGACGCCTTGCTCGGATCCGATGTCTCCTGGAATGTGTTAAGTGTCTCCACGAGAAGAAGTCGTTGCCAGAATCTTTCTGTTATGTGGCATCAGAAGTTGAATATCGGAGTCAATGCAAAACGACTATCAAACTGTACCCCGAACCCAGGAAAACCAAGAAACTGACAGGGTTCCAGCCCAAGGAGCTGCAGCTGATCACAGAGTCCCGCCTCGTGGCCACTGGAGAGGAGTTCTGTGACAATCAGGGCAAGTGGCTTAAACTGAGAAAGGTGAGAACAAGATTAAATAGATGCATTTTTTTAGCATGACGTCAAAAGTCATAATTAACAAATGCTATTACGTGGACAAACTGATTTTGTTTTCGTTTTTTTTGTTTTTTGTTTTTTTTTTGTCGTTTTTGGGTTTTTTTATGTTGTTTGTTGTGAGCTAGCTAGGCATTGCTCATTCAAGGTCCAGCTCATAGGATAAGTAAACCCTTCAGTTGAGTCTGAGAACATTGAATTTAAGTTTGTAGGTCCAAACCTCATTGTTAACACCCTTCAGCTAATTGTTTAAGAGCAGCCACATTTTGCATGGTTTATAGAGTCTTATGTGAGATTTCTTAGAATAGAGTATAAGAAATTTCAAGGAAAGCAGGGCTGGTAATGAACTAGATAGAACGTTCTATCGTTAAAATGATAATGTCCTACAGACCCAGTTTAACGATAGAATTTGTTCCGTGTATTGGCAATGTAGCAAAACAAACACAGGCGATAACTTGAACTCAGTGCATTTACTATGATCAATCCAGACAGTTCCAAATGTCAACATGGCGTGTAAATTTGAAGCGAGAAAAAACATTGAGAAAATCAGTTGAATTTTCGTCTTTATATGGATTTTTTTATGCAGTTAAAAGGCATATACAATCACAAAAAGGTTTGTTATGATTAATTTGGTAGCTATTTTCAGTGCAACTCCTTTTGTATACTTCAAAATCATTTCCGAGCTGATCTGCTCCAATTTGCTACTTTGCAAGTATATGGGACGTATTCTTACTGTGGTGAGGGCTTGTCCCGAAACACAGTAAGATTATTCTAACTAGTAATGTACTTAGTATGTGTTAAGGAGGACAAGGGTAAAGTGCAGCAGATTTTGAAGTGACTAATTTTTGTTGTGGAAATCCAATCAATGCTTTACCACCACATTACTTACTTACCTACTGCCCGTGATACCTTTGGTGTATAGGGCAGTAAAGAAGGCTATCCATCCTTGTTCTTCATTGACCATCTTCTGGAGTGTGCCTCAACTTCTCTTTTGTTCTTTAATTTCCACCTTCACTATTTTCTGCCAGGTGATTTTTGACTTTCCTCTTTTCTGTTTGCCCACTGGTTTTCAAAAGAGAGCCATCTTACTGGTGCTGTCAGAGTCCCTTCTAAGTACATGGCCAAGTCAATTCCATTGTCTTCTGATGATGAATATGACCATGTCTTCTTGTTGGCATCTGTTGAAAAGGTCCTGATTTGGGATGATCGATATTTAGCCAAAATAATCTAAGTCCTTCCTAGGCACTTTGTTAATCAAAAGTAGATGTATATCATGAAGATTTTTAATGTAAAAATCCCAGAAGTGAATTTCCCAAGTTACTTTGTAAAGAAAAAAATCAGTTAAGACATAATCATTATGATCAAAAGTGGTAGAGGTTTATAAATAAAATGCTAACAAAGAACTACTTGTAAATGAATACCAGAGACCCACATGAGTAGTTTAGCAACATCATATACAGTAGCTATTAAAATAATTTATTGTCATCTTTATATTTCAGTATAAAATAAATGCCTCAGATGAATATCAAGTATTTGATAAAGATGTCTGGACCATGCAATACAGCAACAAATCGGTATCAGATGACTCGCCAGCAATTGTACCTGTAGAGAAAGATCCTAAAAAGATTGTCATCAACAGGTCAGTTTTAATGTTTTCTCAGGTATTGAGGGAAGGATTTTCTTGTTTGCTGATTTTGTATTTTCTATTTTCTAAACAGTTGGGAAGATGTTATAGAGCAGCGATTCTCTGTTCAACTTGTACCAGGTAAACACAAAATTACCTCCCCTGAGGAGGAATGTGTGGCTCTGTTAAGAGAGATTCCCCCTAACTGGACCCTGGATCATGACGAATCTCTCGTACATCTCATGTCCCAACACATACCCCCTGAAAATGACCATCTGGGCAGCATCAAAAACTTTGTGGAATCAGTTCATGTGTCTACTTTTGGAGTGAGTTTTACAATAAAATACTGTAGATTCCTAAATATACGTGAGGAATTAAATATTGCGTAATTACGCGAGAAGCACCACTAGCGAAATAAAATTACTCGCTTTTATTTTTATGGTGCTGAAATCAATGTAAAATCACTTGATCAACCGTCCACTCGCGAATTATTGTTCTCGCGATTTGACGTTAAAGAGTCATTTTGCGATAATAAGTACTCCCGAAAAATAAGGAATCTACAGTAAGTGAATTGTTGTTTACATTTATAAATTTTTGGACACTTACTATAAGCAAAGTAATTTTAGGAATATTTTTCCTTTTGTTAATTTTTTTTAATTTTTCAAGATTGTAAGATTGCACACTATAGAATTTTAAAAATTAAGACTCAGTTTAGGAAACAATTTTTTTTTTACAAATGGAATTGCATCAAAAAAGCTTTACATAAGATTATATCAAACAATGAATGGAAATACAGGATGATGATACAGGACCATCTTGTCTGACTGATGGACTACTAGACACATACTGGGAAAGTGACGGAAGTCAAGGCAACCACTGGATTCGACTTAAAATGAAGAAAGGAACTGTCATACTGTAAGTGGTGAATCAAAAGGATAAAAGTCATTGTTTTCTATGTATATGTTTTGTTTAAAAAATTGTGGAATGTTGCTTCTGAAATAACACTCTTTCACTTTTATGTAATATTCAGCATGGCTCATTTAAATTTCATTGACAGGAAGTTGCAGTTGACTATAGATGGAAGTGATGATAACTATGTGCCATCTAAAATTGTTGTTCAAGGTGGAGAGCAGGACAATCAAAAGACATTAAACACAGTGGAGGTAGACAGGTGAGTAGACAATTAGACACTCAACACAGTGGAGGTAGACAGGTGAGTAGACAATTAGACACTCAACACAGTGGAGGTAGACAGGTGAGTAGACAATTAGACACTCAACACAGTGGAGGTAGACAGGTGAGTAGACAATTAGACACTCAACACAGTGGAGGTAGATAGGTGAGTAGACAATTAGACACTAACACAGGGAGATAGATAGGTGGGTAGGGTAGACAATTAGACACTAACACAGTGGAGGTAGACATGTGAGAAGACAATTAGACACTCAACACAGTGGAGGTAGATAGGTGAGTAGACAATTAGACACTAAACACAGTGGAGGTAGACATGTGAGTAGACAATTAGACACCTCAACACAGTGGAGGTAGATAGGTGAGTAGTCAATTAGACACTCAACCCAGTGGAGGTAGATAGTTGAGTAGACAATTAGACACTCAACACAGTGGAGGTAGATAGGTGGGTAGATAATTAGACACTCTACATAGTAGTGGCAGATAGGTGAGTAGACAATTAGACACTCAACATAGTAGTGGTAGATAGGTGAGTAGACAATTAGACACTCAACATAGTAGTGGTAGATAGGTGAGTAGACAATTAGACACTCAACATAGTAGTGGTAGATAGGTGGGTAGACAATTAGACACTCTACATAGTAGTTGTAGATAGGTAGGTAGACAACTAGACACTCATTACAGTGAAGGTAGACTACTGAGTAGACATTGAGGCACTCAACACAATAAATGTAGACTGTTGAACTAGTGAGTAGACATTTAGTCACTCAACATAGTGGACAGATTGAAGTTTTTAAGTATTCTATTTAGTCTTGAACAGAAAGCAGCTTCTGCTAAATCAAGTAAATTGCTAAATGTCTTGTGTATATATATTCAAGTAAAGCACATTCTGAGAGTTTTAAAATCAAATCTCTGCGGACTTGTTGAAAATCAAATATCGTACATGCCAAATAAAATACATTTACAGTATATGATTTTTCTATTTTTGTGTTTTAGGGAATATTCAGATGTTGAGGACATCACATTACTAGAGAATATGACAGAACATTTTCCATTCATTACCATAAATATTAAGGAATGTAAAGGTTAAGTTCTGGAATAAATTGAGTAGAAAAAGTAATAAACATGCCAGCCCTATCTCTCTTTCTTTTTCTTTATTTAAAAGTTTGTATCAAAGAAACAAATTAATGAATAAACTCTTTCTGATGTCCTTTATTTTATATTATCCCAAAAGAAACACAGTGAATTCCTACAATGTTAAATGCCTATGTTTTCAAGTGGACATTTTAAAGAAGAAAAAGATTTTGGGATGGAAACAGAATGCCACTATAACTGTGTTGTAGGTGGAGGAATAGACACTCGAGTGAGGGGGCTTAAGATCCAGTCATCTGAGGGACGGTATCTGGGATTCGATAGAGACTTCTTCAAGGGAGAGAACTTGTCTAGATTTCCCAAACTTGAGTCTTATTCTCCAGACCAGCTATATAGAAGATCCCAACTCCTCCAAAGGTAAACAAAATATTCTCTTTGACATCAATTTATCATGAATTTTGTTTTAGAAAGGAAAAAAAAATCTCCAATATAAGACAGAGGTTTATACAGGGTAGATAGATGTATACAGGATTCAGTTAAATGTTTTGTTCTGCAGATTCGGTGAGGGTTTCTTCACTTGCCAGGGATTATATAAGCTATCACAGTACATGTTATACATAATTATATATTTTCTACAATTTGTTTAGCAGAATTTAAGGAAAAACAGTTTGCTAGCAGCTTTTTTTCTTTAAATCAATATATTTTTACTAAATTTTTTAGGTTCGTAGTAATTTTAGACAGCGTTCTACAGTTCATTGTACCAGCTTGGGAGTACACCGTGGGGTCATACAGTTCCATGGAGGTAAATAATTGTTCTCTGTAACACCATTTAGCAACTTCCATTTTTACATTAACAAACCACAACATTCCCAAGCTTGTCATTTGCTTTCATTTCAGCATGTCAGGCAACTGCTTCCTTTGTCCAAAAAAAGACTGACCTTGATTGAAATGTTTCTGAAGGATTCATGTCTGGAGTGAGTCAATGTCTTTAACTTCATTAAATTGTTCTTACCTGTAATTACACTCTAAATATTTGTATCTGGCAAGAATTATTTCATGCTTTCCTTATAAATGTGTAAATAATGTTTGAAATAATTTTACAGAAGACCTATTGAAATGCCGAAGTTATTTATAAATCGTCGAGCAGCAATGGAACATCGATGTGACCCTAGTCTAGATCCTGAGTACAAACACAGTATATTTAATCAGATTTATGAAGGACTAAAACCAAAGGATAGAAGTTCGAAGCTCTTAAACTACAGGTAATGCTGCATCACACCAACCCATGTTAACTTTGGTTTTGATGAATACCATATTACATGTATATATCTCTCTAAGGGTATTCGTTTGGTTCTCTCTGACAGGTGGTCGTCGAGGTATGACCAGTGGTGGGAGTGTAAGTTTATGTCAGAGGGGGTGATAGATCAGGGTGGGGGATTCCGGGACAGTCTGTCTGACATTGCTGAGGAGCTCTGCCCCACAAGTAGTGATACCCCTGTCCCTCTTCCATTCTTCATCAGGTCACCAAACCAGGTCAGTATCACTGTCATGTGACTTTTACATTTCAAAATACTGAAGAACAACAAATTTTCACAAAAACTTTTTTTTGTGAGAAAATTATTTGGTATTAATAAGCAAGTCAAAATTTTCCCAAATGTTTGTTATTGTACATTAAAACTTGTCTAATTCTGATGTTGTTCAGTCTAAAAATTTGCTAATTACGATGTAAAATTTTAGTCCCTTTCAGTAAATTTAATTGTTTGAAATCTTGTCTAACCCAGAATGTTGTCTAATCTGACCAATTTCTCATGAACCAGTGGTGTCCGGATTAGACAAGTTTATTGTACAGGTTTTTAATTATACAAATACATGTATTCGTGAAAAGAAATTTTCACTAACAGGTAATTACACAAAAAATAAAATGCTCACGAATAGTGATTTTTTTGTTTTTGCTTCAGTAATTTTTATGAAGGCCTGTCTTGAGAAGAATAAATCTACAATTTATTTCATTTAATTTTCCTTTACACAGTTTTCATCTAAAGCAATAATTTTTCAAAACATTTTGTGCAGTTCATTGGGCTAGATTTTTTTTGAATTACATGTATATTTATACCCCCCCCCAAACGAAGTTTGGGGGGGGGGGGGTATATTGGAATCACCATGTCCGTCTGTCTGTCCGTCTGTCTGTAGACGAGATTTTGTCCAGGCCGTTTCTCGGAACAGGGATTTATCAGCCTAATTTGGGAAACGCCATTTTTAGGGAATTGGGAAAAATTATCGGCAATTTGATGAAATTGGGAAAAATATTTTTAAAAAATCTTGCTTTCTTCATGTATTCACTTGTAATTCATTTAACATTTCAGCATGAACTCTAATTTGGGCAACCAAATTAACAGACAATTAAATATGATCCAACTTCATCATACAAAGTCAATTATGAACAATAGTTTAATAAAACTAAATTTGACTCCAATGAGTATTAAGTATTTTAAATTATACAACTTACGGTAGTACATGTGTGCATGAGATTCCAATTTAAGTCATTAGAATCTGTTTCTGGAGATTATAAACATCTTGCAAAACATATAAAATTATACTAAGTACACATTTTCTCAAAGTCCCCTTTTAATGTGTAAAAATGTATTGAAGATATATTTTTCCATCTGAAATAATACCTACAGTTCTTACCATTCAATCATAGATCAATTGAGTAGGTGAAAATAACTTAATAAATCTATATTATTACACAATATTACACCAATTTCAGAAAAAATGGAGGAAATTCGGAATAAAAGTCGGCGATGTTTACACAGATTTTAAACACTTGTTATGACTGAATAGCTTTGTTAAATGAGATAAACAGAGGAAAATTACAGAGAATCTGACAATTTTACTTAGTTTTTTCCCAAGATAATTAAATATAAAAGCATTGTGTCACCAACTGGGAAAAAATACTGCCGAATTGGGAAAAATTGAACTCATTTTCAATTGGGAATGGGGCCGATTTTCGGCCCCTGAGAAGGTACTGATAAATCCCTGCGGAAACTATTGCAAGGATTTGTTTGAAAATTTGTACACTTATTATTCACCATATGAAGGTGTGCACCTGGTTTTTTCAACGTGATTGGATAATTTTTTTGCATTTTACAGGTGTTTTTTTCATTTTTATTGTGTGGTTTTGTCTGGACCTGTTCTCAGAGGCTATTGCATAGATTTGTATGAAAATTTGTACACTCATTATTTACCATATGAAGATATACACCTGGTATTTTCAACATTATTTGATAATTTTTCTGCATTTTACAGATTTTTTTTTTTTTCATTTTTATTGACTTAGTCATTATGGGTTTATAAATGTCTAAGGTTTGAGACATAGAATCAAGAACAACTTAAGTGTACAAAAATGTGAACTACAGCTTAAAACTACTCATTAAAACTAAAAAAAAAAACCATCACCAGGTATTAAAAACAGTTTTTACATTACACAACAGATAGTGTAAATCCATTTGTCCCTTGGGAGTAATGAGTGGACATGCATCCAGTTAAAGATTAATCAATGAGTTCAGTGTGGGAAGTTGTTAGGGCATCTCTGATCAAGCATGTGTTATCTATATCTCCTGGGAATTTGGGAAAAAAATTAAAGATCTCTGTTCTCTAATTCTCTTAATTGTAATTTATTGTCAGTCAAAGTACTGACCAGCCTTTTATTTTTAAAATAAATTTGATATAAAGTTATCAAGATTAATTTGATTTTGTATAATACATGTATGTTGTGTTTTTTCAACAATCAATTTGCACAGTGTCATGTCTCACAAAGATGAAAGATAGTTGCTTTTTATTTTTTCAATGTATCAAAAAACAAAGTAATTACAATGTATTAGTATTGATATTTTATTAGGTTGCACCTTAGTTTCATTCATTAAAAAAATATAAAGAGCAATTATATTTTCACTCTAAATGTTTATAAGAAAATTGTGAACACCTCTTAGATCCATAAAATATTAGTAATTTGGCACCTTCTCTAAAAAACCCAGTGGGGGGTGTTTGTCCCTTTTGGACAGTTCTATAGTTTATTTTTGACAATGTTCTGTTAGAAAATTGCCATCATTACAGAAATATTCCCATTTAGTGTATAAAGTATCATTCTCCCTGTATATGTATTAAATTACTATTGACAAGGGATCGACAGCTATGATTGCAGAGAGATGCAAGCCTTACATCTGTTGCTTCATCAGAATTGAAGCTAAAATGTTCTGTTAAATTTCAGTTTTGTGAAGATATAAATGTAAACAGAGACACTTACATTCCAAATCCATCCTGTAAAGAATTTCTAAAGTATGAGTGGATTGGTCAGCTGATGGGGGCGTGTCTGAGAGGAAAAGAAAACCTGGTAAAAGACGGAGAAGTTATTGTGAACTTAATTTAGATAATAAGGACAAAAGCTATTACATGTATTACAGTACAGTGCTAGCTTTGACACAAGCTGTGTGTTGTTACTTTCAGATTTTATCATTGCCATCATTTGTGTGGAAGAAGTTATCAGGGGAGAAGACTAACTGGGCCAGAGACTATGTGTCTGTAGATGCTGCAGAGGTTTGGTTCTGTTTCTATGAAATTTTATTTGTACTGTTAGAAATTGTAAGAAATTTTATTTCTTTACAATAAAACTTTTCTGCTCTCAGTGCCATGGTTGATTGTAAAATAGAGCAATGACACAGGATTCTTAAAATGGAAAAAAAAAAAAAACCCCAAATGTATGATATGTTCTCCATTTTAGCCCAGGGTTAGAGTTTTCAAATTGCATGTAAAATAGTTTTGGGGGGGGGGGGGTCTCTTTCTTTCCTTAGATAAGCAACTTTTTTTTCGAGATAGAATATCTGTAGCTTTGAATTGGTGATCTTATTGTTCTGTTATGCTTTGTACAGGTTCACCTCATTGACAGTCTCCTGCAGATGAAGGAGGAGGACTTCTGTGCTCTCGGTAGAACGTGGAGCATGACCCGTGCTGATGGTACACCAGTCACCATTAAGATGGACACAGATGGGAATCCCGCAGAGCTGAAGTTTGAAGACCGTGAGGATTATTGTGTAGCAGTGAAGGAAATCAGAATGAATGAGTTCAATTCACAGGTAAAAAGAAACAGTGAGGTAGCAAAGAAATATAAGTACAATTCAGACAAAAAGCTCACAAATCTCTTTCAGCATAAGTAAACATAACTAAAACTCAAATAATAAATGAAAATTTACTGTAAAATTCTTGTAGATTTTGATGATGGTGTTAAGAATTTATGGCTATATTTGTTCAGAAATCACACAAGAAGTGTCTCTTTTTACAATTTTACAAGAGAATTACAATTTGTACTACTTTAAATATATGTGCATGTATACGTATTAAAGAAGAATAATTTGTCTTATATATTATATTTATAATTGTAGATTGAGGCCCTCAGGAGGGGATTACTAAAGGTGGTGCCACAGGCGGTGCTTGATCTTTTGACCTGGCAGGAGGTTGAGCACCGTGTGAGTGGTGACCCAGATATTACAATAGAGGCACTCCGGCGGTCTAGTAAGAAATCTACTTATACTTTATACAGTAGAATACTGCATGTAGTCTTAATTATAATGAAGAATTTACGTCAAGGATTGCAAGTGGTGCTTAAATAATAGTTCTCTATATCAATATAAAATTGTTATTTAATGACAAAGAGACATGATTTCAGTCTAAGATGGCAGAAGTATGTGTAATTAAGCTTCAAGTCAATGACATAGGAATTAAGGTACATCTTAATCAGTACAGTTGATGTAGTATATTAAGAATTATGGTAGAAAATTCAGACTACAGAAGCATGATTTAAGAAAAAATAAAATGTCTTGGAGTTTGTCAGTTTATACAGAAAACAGGTATTCTGTGAAAATGTTTTTCAAACCCCTGAATATTTTATTACAAATATAGGAATATATGGTACATATATCACTTTATACCTGTATTATATAACTTGGTACTCTTTTGTTTCAGTTCATTATGATGATCTAGATGAGAAAGATACTAGAGTAAAATACATGTGGTCTGCTCTCACCAATTTCACCAATGAGGATCGCAGTCGATTCTTACGCTTTATCACTGGCCGGCGACGATTACCGGCTCCTGTATATATAGCCTCCGGCAAAAGGTAAGCATTGATTTCTAGGAGGCACCTCTACTCCACAGCAGGTGTGAATACTCAAGTTTTTACTAGAAAGGTAGATAATATACAGAAAAATTGTTCTATTTTTATCCATAGCAAATTGCACCCAGTCAGAATAATATTACTCTGTAGTGCTGTACTAGGTGATCTGTAATAGGTTATATCAAAACATTTTGTCAAAAAAAAAAAAAAAAAACAACTTTGTAACCTGCTTTCTCAAACAGTCTAATTTTGTGGTGACATATCTGGATTTTATAGACATATTATTTCAAGTAATTAATATGACTGTAATTAGATGAAAGAAATTGAATTTTGCTGGACAATACATCCCGTGTGTCTTTTTTTGACAGTGATGCTATTGATTGTCTCCCTGAATCTTCTACCTGTGCCAACATGTTGTACCTGCCAAATTACACCAGGTAAGACCCTTTTTTTTATCAATACTGTCCTGTTATAGATTTCAAGTGTTTTATAAAATGGGATATTGTTATGCAAAGATTATATTTATTTTGAATGATATCTATGATATCATGGGCTTTCTACAGTTTGAAATCTAAGTAAGATTTTTGATAGGTGTATGACATTTTGCTGTTTCAGTGCCCAGGTCTGTGAGGAGAAGCTCCATTATGCTGCCTATAATTGTGTCGACATGGACACAGATGTTAACTACATGGATGAATAATACCACTTTACTAGCTGCAATATAAACTTGATATGTGGATATTTGTGAAAACAATGTGATATTTATGTTGTTTGTAGAATCAGTCAGGAATATTTGATATTACTGTTTTTAACTATCTGACTTGCAAATGTACAATTGTATACATGTATACTTGTATGTTGTAATAAAATAAGTCTGAAAATAATTTCCTTTGAGATTTGGGATTCCTGCATTAAAATGATCAAGTGGGTTTCTTTGGCAGAGTGTCTGTGTATGTTGTTCTGTCTGTCTGTCATCTTTAAACTCTCCATATTTCCAGTTTCTTAAGAATCACAATGCTGATCTCAACAAAACTTTCCACAAAGCATCATTGACTGAAGGGAATTAAAGTTCATTCAAAGCAAGAGGTACACCTATTTTTCAAAGGGAGATGATAAAGAAATGACACAAACAGGTTAGGTCATTGAAATATCCTCTTTTCAAGAACCACTGGTCCAGAGAAGACACATATGAAAGCTTAATCTTTTTAAATGTAGATATACAATCTTTGTCAAATCATGACCCCTTGGATTAGTGGTAGGGGGTTAAAGCTGTTAGAGTGGAAGTTTTACATGAGAACACACACTAGTAAAATCTTTTGAAAATCATCTAAGACAGCAGGGCCTCAGACTTAGACCAGAGTTAGTTAGTTGAAGTGCATTATCCCATGTAATATAGATTCAAAGTGGGAACTAGGTTGGGGCCATATTATTTTACAGAAATATATTAAAATGAAGAAGGCGACAGTTATAAAGCAGACATTAAGCGTCAATACACTGTAAATTAAAATTGTTGAATTTTCATGGACTTCGTGACATATACCACAGTATCCAAGCAGGTAAGTGGTTTCATTCATCTGTATTCATATTCATTAGAGAGAAAATGGTGACTTCCTGGACTTATTTTGATCGAATCATTAAAATTTGTTTTTGGAACAATCAGGATATTGCAATGTACTTTAAACTTCTTTAAAAAATGCATTTGAATATCAGATGATCAGTAGAAGGTTTTTTTTTAAGATTTGGGTTGGGATTAAACAGATAAATCAAATGGGGTTAAAAATAAGTTGACAGGCCAAAAGGGGGTGTCAATATCTCTGGTATCAGTACTAGTTGACCCCTCCCTCCTGTCCCAAACACACGCTAATGTATTTCCGGAAAAAATACAACGTGCTTGGTTTCTGTTTTAGAATTTTTAAGCGCTTTAACGAATCAGATTTGTTTACATATTCGCCATGAAACATGTTTGAACATAGTAACTAATAATTTTTAACGATATTTTAATTCAATTTTTCAATATAGGATGTGATATTGCATATCATTAGGTATGTACATTTTGTTCTTTTCTTCAGCGAATTGCAATTGCAGCAGAGCATTTTGTTACAAGTCTATACATTCTCTAAAACCATCCAGTGTTAAAAAGACTGTTAATGATGGATATTTGAAAAGAGGCTGTCTCTTCAGAGAGGTTTGAAGTCAATGGAAGGATATAGTGTCCACTTGTATAATATAACTCCACATACTTATATTTACATAAACTTCCACTGCTCCTGGTTAAATCTTGTCAATGTACCAGCTGCACAACAGGCCCAGTCCAAAGACTATTTCTACCTACGTAGCTAGTTATAACTACATAGGTATTTAAACCTACTCCAGATAGCTATTTTTACCTATTTTTTGCTTTAATTGCATTTTGTGACCAAACGCAGAAACAGCGCAAAATGGTGAGTACCTAATATCTTGATACAGGATTTACAGTCACTTCGTACACAAACCGAGTCGTACACAAACCAAATCGTATACAAAAAGTCAACTCGTACACAAAAAAAGTCAACTCGTATACAAACCAGAAGTCAACTCGTACACAACTCATACATACGTTTTCCTATGTGATTTAAGGTAATATTTGCCATAGTTTCAAGAAAATTGAGAAGTCAACTCGTACACAAATGTGTTTTCTGTACATTTTTAACTAGTTTATGCCTATACCATATGCGCGATGCGATGCGCAGATTGATTTGTTGACAAGATTTTCCGGAATGTATGTCGTACATAATTTTGTTATATGAATATTGACACATGATGTCATTATATATACTCTCTATCTCTCTATAGTACTACTTATTTATTATACTTTTTTATTCAATATTATGGTCATTTTGGTTCCTTCATATAACATAATTTTCCCATTGTTATTCTCTTGTGCCGTCTTGAGGCCGTTTCTCATCTTTCATTCTTTGTTGTGGTTTATTAATGAAAACAGACGTTTTTGATACATACAGTATCTCATAATTAAAGGATACCGAATTATGAGCATCTCGTAATTAGCGTTTGTCGCAGATCCAAGAAACCACCGCGCGGGTGTTGGTTTAACAATACTTCTTGGATGTCTTTGATGTTCCTATCCTATCAGGGAAGTTGAATTTTTAAATATTTAGGGAAAAAACTTAAAAAACTTAAAGAAAAGTAACAATTCGTGTTATCAAACATTATTTGTATGAAATTAAATCATAACAATTGTATATAAATGTTGTGTACGAGTTGACTTCTGGTTTTTGTGTACGAGTTGACTTTTTGTATACGAGTTGGTTTGTGTACGACTCGGTTTGTGTACGAAGTGACTGGACACCTGATACAGTCGCATTAACGATGAATACAACAGAAATTAAGGCCAAAAATAATTACTTTCTAAATAAGGAATTTTGCGTCAATAACTACACCCAGGTTTATTTACTAACAACTTTTCATGTGTTTCCTCTCCACTCTCCACTGTAGTAAAGTTTTCAAATAACACCCCGAATTTTGCTGTACAACTGTACAAGTGCACAACATGATAAACAACAAGAGCGACCTGTTTTAAAGATGTGCCTTTATTATTTATTTCTATTTTCAAAAACAGAGAAAAGTAGGTAGAGGTATAATAGCTATGTTAAGTAGGTTTAAATTACCTAGCTAGCTATTAGTAGCTAGGTAAAAAAAGTCTTTGTACTGCACCTGATTAATACTCATAGTGAGCGTGAAGTGCTGCTTAGAATGTGGCTAAAATGGGTAGTAAAACCCGGGTAGGGCAATTGGAGAAGCCATTTGATTCCTATAACTTGAAGATTCCTGACTTCTTTGATAATTGTTGAACATTTCCAATAAAATTGGGGCGGAGGGGGGGGGGGCATCTTCGCTAGCCAAGGGTTTCTGATACGCTACTCTCCTCATAAGCCCTTGGCATACGGTGTTAAAAAAAGTTGGGATTTTTTTCTCAAGTTGTGATTGGAGTTGATCGACATCATTCGACCAATCAGCAATTGTTTTTTGTAAATGACGATATTTGCGTTCGGGATATATCTTGACTCTTTAATATCGGGAATGAAAAACGCAAGTAAACAACGATCAGTAAGATAACATGCTATTCTAAGAATAGCTATATGGTGTCATCCAATATCTTAAGCTACGTGCAAAATATGTGATTAAGAATCTATACTGAGGATGTAGATTTGCATTTTAACATGTTTATATAACAAATTAACGTAACTCAATACCTTCTTGTTAATTATTCTTTAAAAACATTATATTTTAAAATACGCTTTTTATTTCTGTCGATGACGCAATCTGTGCGTTCGTGATCACGTGACGAAAAGAATCCCGTCTTTTGTCAGCACCGTGTGCCAAGGGTTTATGAGGAGAGTAGCGTATCAGAAACCCTTGGCTAGCGAAGATGGGGGGGGGGGGACAGAGTTTTATTATTGCATATGAGTTTTGTGGCAGAGATTCTGTATTTTGTGTGTGTCCAATATGTTGTTATCAAGGTAGAGGATTCAGAGTTTTAAAAATTTTTTTCTTGTGGACTTCTCATAATTTCCTTGAAAAATGTGTAGATTTTCTCAAATACATTATCATAGTCGATGGAGCTTGCTACTTGTACATGTATTAAGAAAGCTTACTGATCTTGTCCGAACAGTTTCACCTTATGAGATATTTGGGTAGTGAGTGATATCACTTGCTGTCTTTAACCTTGACCTTTGACATTCTGAACCTGGAATGACTAGGCCTTTTCCTCATGTCTTCTTGAACAAATGTGAAACTGAAATGTCAGATGTACTCTTTAATTTATATGTCAACAACTCAGTTGACACCTAATACAGTTTTTGACCTAACGATCTTGGAATCAACAGACTTTTATGTATCCCTACACTGTTTTGGATGCACACAAGTGAATAAAATGTACAAATATGTAGACCATTTAGTCTTCTCATTGTCAACTTTGATGTTTCCTTATCATGCTTCATGATATGTTAAAAATATTAAATATTTTTTTTTAATCATTTGAATTTTGGTTATAGATTACAAGATGATCAAAAGAGGGTCTACCAGTGCCCTTCTACAGAAAGCTCAATCTCAGCTGAGGGGGGAGAAAGTGTCCAAGGCCACGGAGGAAGAGGATGACCTCAATGTATGACTGTTGTCTTGTTACTTAATTATACACCAATCAGTTGTTATCACAGCCTACCTGTCACTAATATATAGGTTGTATTACTTGTGTAGGACAGTATGCATTTATGTCAAACTCGAGTTCCTTGATCATTAAGTCAAGGATTGTCAAGTATCTTTTGACAATTTTGAAGTTAGGAAACAAGAGATAAAGTTAAAATGGTATCTGTAAAGTCCATTATGGAACCTGTATCCCGCTTTGCAAAATGAATTCCCACAGATCTCTTACAGCCTAAAATTTTGCATTACAATGGGGTGTCATTATATGAGAAGTATAAAATAACCATTATGATGTCATGGCAACTAATCACTAGGGTTTTTCTTATATGTTAGAGAAAAATTAAAAAAAAAAAAAGGTATGAAACATACTGTGGTAGTTTGAGAGGTATTGAATTGATCAGTAATATACAAATAATGTTGTTTCTTTGGTTACCATCTGTTTTATACAATTGTTGTGTAAAATCCTATGGAGAAATACTGCCTAAGATATCTAGACAAACTGTGTTTGGAGCCCTTAGAAAAAGTATTTTGGTAACATAATGAGACTATATGTCACTTTTGTTGATTAGGCCTACATCAAGTCCCTGACACAGAAAACAACATCCCACCAACAGAAGAAGACTGTCAATTTTGAGGATGGGGAAATTTCTATCTCCAGTGATGTCGATACTCACACACAGACGAGCTCTTCACATGCAAAAAAACGCCCACTTATAACATCAGGGAACAAATTCTTAAAGAAAAAGCAAACAGAGATGACCTCACAGCCGAGTGCAAAGTATCTGAAAAAGCCACAAGTGTCAAATGCTAGTCCTGTACCGACTGTGTCAGGGGACATGGTCAGAACAAACAAACCCAGAGACTCTGCCCGGTCCTCCTCTGCTCTCAGTAAAGCATCAGCCCTAAGTAATAAATTTGCCAAACGGTCAGCAGAAACAAGGAAAGTCTTCACCCTGGAGACAGATAGCAGTGAGAGCCTTCAGACACCAAGGCCTGGGTCTGCTCTGGGTAGTTACAATGAAAGGTCAAGATCAGCTGATTCAGACAGTATGAAGATTGGTAAAGATGGCTCAAAGTTTATGAAAAAGAAAACACCAGCACCAGAGCCACAGAGAAATAGAAGCCCATCTCCTCAAACCAATCAGAGGAAGCAAAGCCCCTCTTCACAACAACAAGCACAGAGGAAACGGAGCCCCACGCCAGTGGGTAAGGCAAAGGATAAAAAAGGTAAGACAATGGAGATGTTTATACATCAGTATAAAGAAAGGAACAATAAATCTTAAATGAAAAGAGAGAAATAAATATCCTACTTTTTATCCTCAGAAAAAATGAAATTCTGACCTAATTTTTCTGAAATTTCTTGCATTAAAAGATGTGATTCATCATCTAGTTGTTGTTTGCAGCCCCTACAAGGTTTTCAGCTGATGTAGTTCTGTCGTCTGGTGAAGAGAGTCTGGCAGAGTTTATGGCTGGATTAGATTCCTCAGAAAGTTTTCCAGGGGGCAAAGGAAAACATAAGGTTATTATTCTGTCCAGAAGCAGTAATATTTGTTTTACTTTGTCATATAAATAAAATTTTCATGATAAGAATTATAAGTTTAATATGAATTTTATTTATTCTCTTTTGTTTCCAAATATACATCTTGATATGATGTATGACATAAAGATAATGGCACCATACTCCACTAGTTCTAATTATATTACAGAAGGGACCAAGGACACCTTCCCCAACAATACCACGCTCACCATCACCAGACTCAAAACCTCCCACTGCCAGACGATCCCCATCACCAGGCCCCTTCAGATCCCCTTCCCCTGGCCCCTTCAGATCTCGATCCCCAGGCCCCTTCAGATCACACTCTCCAGGTGACCAGAGATCCCCCTCCCCTGTCCCTCACAAAAGAGGAGGAAGGTCCCCCAAACTCCATCGCTCTCATTCCTCTCGGTCCTCATCTGCAGAATCAGACATCTTAGAAAGTGAAAAATATGATGAGAGCTCCGATGATGCCTTCAGATGTAAGTTATTATTTCATAATTTATAGCATAATGGCTTTTGATGTGTTAGATTGTCTTATCTAGTTATCTGTATTCTTGATAAACATGGGGCAAAGATACTTTTTTTAATTATTTTCTAATCACAAAATTTTCTAAACATAGCAAAATAATTAAATTTTAAAGTATATATTCTACATGGTGAATTTGTAATAATGATGATGATTTTATAAAGAACAAAGTTTTACTGTCTTATTTCAGTTAATCTGATGGATATTGATGCTTTAGAACCTGTGTTAGTAGACTCAGACTCCAAAACAAAAACTAAGGAAATTTCCAAAGCAAAATCAAAGACCAAGAAAACTGAATTCAAATCCCAAAAGTCAAAACCAAAAAAGCAAAAATCAGAGGAGAATGACTTGTTTTTTGGACTTCAGACGGTGGAGGATTTACTGGGGGGAATTCCAGAGGAACGCCCACCTAGTGTGGCCAGTGAGGAAGTGAAAACTGAGTCAGAGGATATCCCAGAGGAGATAGGTCCTCCAAAAAGGAAGACAACTTCATTTCATTCTGTCCTCGAGTCAGAAATTAAAACTCAGGATTTCACCAGTCTACGCAGGAGTTATTCTGATGACTTTGATGATACAATATCTGAGCGTATTGGAGATTCACACAGGAGGTTGAGTCGACCTTCCTCACGGAATACAGATATTGACGATTACACTGAGACATTTCAGAGCGAGTCTGAGATCACAGAGGAGTCCGGAACAGCCACAGAAACCGAGGAGTCAGAGAAACCAGAAAGGTTTGTTCTCCTTATATCTCCCTAAATAGATAAAATAAACAGTTGAACTTTGGTATCTTGAACATGGATATCTTGAATACAATGGATATGTCAAAGTGATTGGCAAGTCCCAAGCCCTTTTTCTTTAAGTATTTTACCCTCAATATCTTGAACCCACAGATATCTCGAAGTGTTTTCTCGGTCCCATCTAGTTCGAGATAACGAGGTTCAACTGTATATTGATTGGTTTTGGCATGGTTATCTGTATGTCTTTTTTCTGTCCATCCTTCCTTCTACTGTATGTCACAAAATCATATCAGGTCTATACATGTAACTCTCAAATCCTCCTTTATAATGAATCTGACCTAATTGTGTGTCATGATATGAAAAACAAAACAAATCATTAAAATTGTACTTTCAGTTGATTTCATTCATTAAAATTCAGCAACTCATTTGTATCCAGTGCATTATCCTGCACATTGATTGTAGTGCTAGCGCATCTTCAAGTTGCCATGATTGTGTTACTTGGGTTTTTTATTGTGACGTTATGTTTTTTGGAAGTCATGATGGTATCATTACATCACAATAAATCAATCTACTGATTTAATCAGAATCAAAATCAATAATATTGTTCAATGTTCAATGAACATTGTACTTGTTGTATATATGTAACATTAGAGCTCTGGTAGATCACTCATGCAGAGTATGTGTCTTTATAATTTTCATCTATATTACATGTACAACATAAATTTTTGTAAATTATCTCAATTTATTTGTTATGACAATCATATTGTATTCATTGTTTGTATAACAAGGAGAGGATTAATTAAGTTGAAAGAACTTGTATCCAATTCTTTTGTATGTATTATACAATAAACAATAAAATATGTTCAAATCATATCTATAATATTGTGGGAAAACTCCCTTTGCTGGTCAATAGTAAAAATTAAATGACCATCAATATTTTTTGGAGGAACTAATATCAATTATGTTGACTGTTTCTCTATATAGAGACTATAGAGGCTTACCATATTAAGTTATTCAAACTTTATATTTTATTACAAAGCTGGAGTTGTTTTGTTTGCATTCTGTATTTTCAAGAGCAAAATCCTCCAATATGCCTTTTCAGGTAATTCACATTTTCCTTCAGATTCCATCAATGTCCCTTATCTGCCCAAATACAGAACCAGAGAAGTCCAACAAGATAAAAAATAAATCAATCCATTCACTAGTAGAAATAGATTCTGAGGTATTGACTCTGTAAACACTGGTGTTTCTCTCTACAGACAAAAGCCAATCAAGCCAGCCTGGGAGGACAAGGGGAGGAGATTGAGGACAACAGAGGTAGGACTTCAGACTGAGGAACCAGGCCTCACCTACAGGTTTAACGTCAGTCCTGGGTTTATAGACCCTGCGTCTATAGCCTCCTATGTCATTGGCCCCGATGCCCTAGAGGGTAAGTATATTCTAGGACAAATATAGAGTAATAACAAGAAAAAAGTAGGAATTATTAGGTCTGGTATATAATTTTATGATCAGCTAAATCATGTTTTCAAGCTTAATTGTGACTTGGGGAAAAAGGGAAAAAACATTCAACTACTTTTGTGTGCTGTTTTCTGCCAACATTTTTGATGTGTATGTTAAATTTTATTTTGTTTGTACAGCAATGACTACCTACAGTCCATGTATGCTGGCCCTACATGATATGTTAAAACAACAGCTAGACTTGACCAAGAGCTTCCTTGCCTCTCAACAGAATCTGTACAGGTCAATGTCAGAGACACTAGATCATAAATATCACTACACAACACTAGAGGACACTAAAAAGGTTTGTAAATAATCAAAACACTAGAACATGTACAGTCAGATCATAAATATCACTACACAACACTAGAGGACACTAAGAAGGTTTGTAAATAATCAAAACACTAGTACATGTACAGTCAGATCACAAATATCACTATACAACACTAGAGGACACTAAGAAGGTTTGTAAATAATCAAAACACTAGTACATGTACAGTCAGATCACAAATATCACTACACAACACTAGAGGACACGAAAAAGGTTTGTAAATAATCAAAACACTAGTACATGTACAGTCAGATCATAGATATCACTACACAACACTAGAGGTCACTAAAAAGGTTTGTAAATAATCAAAACACTAGTACATTTACAGTCAGATCATAAATATCACTACACAACACTAGAGGACACGAAAAAGGTTTGTAAATAATCAAAACACTAGTACATGTACAGTCAGATCATAAATATCACTACACAACACTAGAGGACATTAAAAAGGTAAATAATCAAAACACTAGTACATGTACAGTCAGATCATAAATATCACTACACAACACTAGAACATACTATTACTACTAGTAAATTATCTCTACACTAATTAAATATTGTTGCATAATACCAGTGGATATTAAAAAGAAATCTGGCAAATAATCTCTTCTTTAACTCACAAAAATCAATATGTCACTTCACTTCAGGATACCAGTTTTGTACATGTTAATGCTGTAAAATTGGAAAAGATGTTGACTAACTTGACGAGTAACTAATAAATGTCAGTTTCTATTGGATAACTTCTCAATTTTTTCCAAAGAACAATGTTAAATACTGTAAGACTGTCAATTATTTTTAAAATCTAGAATCTTCAAACTTTCTTCAATATCACCACCAGCTGTCACCATACCAGAACATGAATATATCACTTCAGTTCAATAGAAGACACTAATAAATTGGACAGAATTTAGGACAGGGTCTATATATAAATATAAACAGTGAAATTTTCATAAAAGTTTTGATCCCCACCTTCACAGATTAATTATAATTGACAGAGGAGACAAATAAGAATATTCCATGTCACTCCTACATCTGATTCATTTACATGTTTCAGTCACCTGTCTGATATTACATGACAACCAAGAACTGAAGTCACTTCTATGTTCTTATTTTTATTCTTCCAGTATATAAAGAAACATAGAGCAAAGAAATTGAGTATGAAAGAGGCTTTAAAGCTTGTTGACTTGGAAAATCAAAGTTAGCCAGGATTAACTGTGTGAATTCTTTGTGAGCTTACCAGATAGCCCTCTGAACAATGATCAAATGTAAACAGAAGACCAGATTTCATTTCAAAGTGACCATTTCATTGGATGTTGACAATTCTGTGTGGTCCTGTTAGAGATTTCATATCAAAGTAACTATTTCATTGGAAGTTAACAATTCTCTATGGTCCTGTTAGATAATTATATACTGTTTGTAATGTGAAAGCATGTATTGATGAACTTGTTTTCTGTAACAAAGCTCGGGCTGACTAGGTTTGTGAGATATTGATATAATTATAGATTTACACAGAAATAAAAATAGTACATGACAGTAATGTTAGTAATTAGTGTCTGTGAATTATGTGAACTATAGGCCATATCCTCTGTCTGTTTCATCAATACTAGATGACTGTTTGGTGCTAACACATATTGTACTTCCTGTCTAAATAGATGACTTTTGACATTAAGAATGACCTAGAAATGAGAAACATTAAACTTCTTTTTTTTCTCAGAAAATCTAATTAATCTGACAATATAGAAGTTTATGTTCTGTAAAGTTGAATGGCTTGATTGATTAGACAATCTTAATTGATGTAAAAAGAGAATGTTAATTTTATGGAATTTTTTATCTACTCTGCATATACCTATTTTTGTTTTCAAAATTAAAACGTTGGTCATGTACTAATATGTGTACTCTTGAATTAGCATTATTGATGTATATGTATACAGGTACGTATAATACTTGTACACATTTATATATGTATACAGGTACGTATAATACTTGTACACATTTACAAATCAGCAAAGTAACAGTAAAATATGAATCCTGCGAAAACAGTACGTGTTCAGTATTTGAATTCTTCTTGGTCATTACTTTATTGCAAATGGAATCCTTATTGTGGCTGTATCAACAGTATAGAGTATATCACCTATATAAAAAAATATAATTAAATGCAGATAGGTATAGGTTAAAAAAAATAGGATCATTTTAAAAAAGAGAAATTTTAAGCTCTATCTACTAAAAAGTGGTCAGAGACCAATTGATATATCTTTATTATAAGTACACACCAGTAGAGATACAGTCTCGTCAGAGACTTCTGTATGTAATTTGCTTCAGTCATTGAGCTTTATAACGTTGCCTGCTACACCTTTTGTATACATTGTAAACATTTCCAAAAAAGACTAATATAAGTGTATTTAAATCTTTGTCTGGAAATGAGTTGCGGTGGCTGTAACCTGCCAGAATTGTGTTAATGTAAAAGTAGGTATTTTATATAGCATTCATTGTTATGATCTATATGTATCGTTATGCCGAGGTGCGTGAACTGATATAATCTGATGAAGCCATAGTTCAGAATCGGCTCCCTGTGGTGAAAAATAATCAATAGTACAGCCGTATAAGTGTGATTCTGACATAAAGTAGAAAAAGAAAATATGTTCTTAGACCAATGTTATTAATGTTTGACTTCCCAGTTCTTGTAAAAATGCGTCAACGAAAACTAAAAAGAAATCACAACTATAAAAACAACAGCAAAATATTGTATGAACTTCTTGCAAATTCTCAATCATAAAAAGAGAGAGAGAGAGAGAAAGAAAAAAATCAGACAATTTTTTTCTCTCTTTGAGTGGCCACAGTTGCTCGATTGATTCGGGTGTGTTAGGTTCTAAAATTAAGAGCCATCTACAAGTGACCACTATTAGAATCAATGAGCCAAATTTAGTATCAGCGAGCAAATCAGTAGAAAGAGCCAATCACTAATGATCAACCGTTTCAGAGACGGTCGCATGTTAAAGCCAGCCAATAACATTTTATCACGACTCACGATATAATTGTGAAAAGGAGCCAATCAAAACCATTATTAAACTTATTATGGCTATTCGGACTTGAAACAGAATCGAAATTAATACAAGGCTGTTAAGCTCGTATTAGTTTTTCTTTCAAAATACTATAAGCGACCACCTTTTCAAAGTATCGGTATGGCCACCCGCTGCTCCTTTTCACATCTTGTACCTTTCTGCAACGTATTATTCTTTTTATAGATGTTCTCCAATATGACTTCATATTTAATCACAAATTGTGATTGTCCTGTCCTTGATTACGAATTAGCGCACCAACAAAATCGTGAAAATATAAATACCGCTAAAATACATACTCAGTTTTTGAATTCTTAATGGAGTAAATCATTCGTATTGCTCACAACGCTGGTACCAATAACTGTCGTTTTCAGTGTATTTCCCATGGCCTTACAAATGTGTGTCCCTAGATCTGCCTGTCATACATTCTGTGCATATCATGTTCTTATGCTTCCTCAGATGAAAATTGTGACTTGTAAGCTCTCCATTATTTGTTACCTTAAAAAAAAAAACAAAAAAGTGGCAGATTCTTCAATATTAGAACAAGATGTGTTTATGAAAGACTGATGCCCCCGTATGGCAACTTATAGCAAAGGTTAAACTTTCTCAAATGCAAATCAAATATGTTGGTACCCAAAGTAAGGTCTATAGTCTCGAGGAATATACCTGTCAAATATGAAAGACCTAGCAGCAACCATTGAATAGATATTGATACGGTTAAAGTTTTTTCAAAAGTATGTCACACATCAAGGTCAAGGTCAAATGGTCAAAATTAATGGTGCCCAAGGAAAGGCCTTCTCCAAAGAAATACACAGGTGAAATATGAAAGCTGATGCACCAATCGTTCAAAAGTTATGACCAAGGTTTAATTTTTTCAAAAGTAGATAAAACTCCAACGCCAAAGGGTCAAAGTATTTGGTATCCAAAGAAAGGTCTTGTCTCAAGGATTACGCATGTGAAGTATGAAAGCTCTAGCACCAACCGTTCAAAAGTTAAGGCCAAGATTAAAGTTTTCCAAAAGTAGGTCAAACTCCAAGGTCAAGGTCAAAGGGTCAAAGTTGTTGATATCCAAAGGAAGATCTTGTCACAAGGATTACACATGTGAAGTATGAAAGCCCTAGCACCAACTGTTCAAAAGTTATGGCCAAGGTTAAAGTTTTCAAAAGTAGGTCAAACTCTTAGGTCAAGGTCAAAAGGTTAAAGTTGTTGATATCCAAAGGAAGATCTTGTCACAAGGATTACACATGTGAAGTATGAAAGCCCTAGCACCAACTGTTCAAAAGTTATGGCCAAGGTTTAAGTTTGGTAAAATTTTGCAAAACTGGGTCAAACTCCAAGGTCAAAAGGCCAAATATGGTGGTACCCAAAGAAAGGTCGTGTCACAAGGAATACACCTGTGAAATATGAAAGCCATAGCTCCAACCAATCAAAAGTTATGGGCAAGGTTAAAGTTTTTGCGGGCAAACAGACAGACGGACTGACAGAGCAAAAACTATATACCCCCGAAGATAAAAAGAGGGAGGGAGGAATGCCCGGATCCCAATCATCGAAACATTGCAGTCCTTTTGAAGTATTTCAAGTGTTTTTATTTTCGATACCTTATCAGGCACAAAAATCAAAATGAGAATCTGTCAGTGTTGAAAGAACAATCTTCATTACGAACTCTCAAACGACTGAAAGAATTTTAATTAACTTTAATCACTGTATCCTTGACACTGGTTATCAAAGAAGGCTAACAACAGAGCTAATGTATAGAGTGTACCCTATTACATGTTCACGAGTTGTTCTTTATTGAAGACATGTTAATACAGACATCAAACATCTCCAGTGTAGTGTTCTACCTTTGAAGCATGCTGCACACGTTTTCTTTATACTCGGATGATCTTATATCCATCAAGTGATTACGATCTAGACTTTCCTCCATGCTTCATGGTAATTAAGTCTAATGCAGAGAACTATTTATTTGTGATTTTAAGCTGGACTTTTTTTAAATTCTAGACTTGCGCATCAAAAAGCTTTCATTTTTAGTTCTACTGGTCAGAGATCAGAAGAGCTTATGCGATGGTAAGGTGTCCGTCCAGCTGTCTGTCTGCCTGTTTGTCCGTCTGTTTTTAATCAATTTTGAGCTCACCTCAACGCATCCTCACAACGTCAGGGGTGCTGAGTCCACTCGTTGCGGTTGGACAACGAGTTGCCTCAGGACCTCTGACGTTATGAGGATGACCTCAACAAAGTTGGGGATCTTGTGTAATACCCTCCGCATCGATGTCGGCGTGCAGGTTACAGTTTTTGGAGCAGATTTTTTTTAAAAGAACTTCTATGTCCTCTATTGATCAGAGATGCATGGGCGATGCTTTTTGTATGTTTCATTGTATCAGTCCAGATTTCAGATGCTGCATTTTCAGCCAAAGAATGACCAGGTTAATGTTTTGGGAGCAAGTTAATTTTTTTGAGCAGGTTAAAGTTTTTGGAGCAAGTCTCATTTCTAAGTAACTATAATCCCTATGTTGACCAAACTTGCATGGATGATACACCTAAGGATGCACACTACCAGGCTTACTTCGGATGCTGGATTTGACCTACATTTTCCGGATGAATGACCAGGTTAAAATTTCTGGAGCAGGTTCATTCTTAAGTAACAATTAATCCTATGTTGACCAAACTTGCATGGATGTTACATCTAAGGATGCACACTGCCAGACTTGCTTCGGATGCTGGATCTGACCTACATTTTCCAGGTTTAAGTTTTTGGAACAGGTTCATTCTAAAGTAACTATAAGCCCTATGCTGACCAACCTTACATTGTAGATGCATTCATTGATGCACACTACCAAACTTGCTTCAGATACTGGATTTGACCCACATCTACAGTTCTGGTCCAATTTCAATAAAACATGGTACATAAGAATATTACACTAAGATACATACATGAAATATGGAGAATACGAACGTGAATCAAGCTCAATAGTCCATTGAAACAATACAAATCGGGAGCAGAGCAAACACGGACTTCTAAAAGCATCAGAGTTGGGATCAGGTGCCATGGAGGAGTAAGCATTCCCTGTCCACATGTAATTCTATATATATAGGTTTTTGACTTCGATGAACGGTGTTGCCATGGTTTCTAAGAATAGAAAATTTTGTGAATTCTTTCGAAACGCTGCTCCTGCAGTTTTGGTCCAATTTCAATAAAACCTGGTACACAAGCAGAGTACGTTAATTAAGATAAATACAAGTAATTCTATATACTAGTTGTGCATTTTGATGAACGGTTTTGCTATGTTTTCTAAAAGTAGAAAATTGTTTAAAATTATGCTAATTCTCTTATATGTTTTAGTCTAATTTCAACAACATTTTACATGGGAATACATGGGAAAAGACCTTTTAAAAATCTCATTATAAACAGGTCAATTTTTAGTTATATTATCCACATAATTATGCAAACAGTCTCAGGCAGTACAGATTCAAGTTTGTTCACATTAAAGCCCCCCAGCCTCCTCTCCCGATGGGGGGAGGGGGGGGGGCACAATAAGGGTTCTAGTTTTACATGAAAATAAAGTCATAGCAAAGCAATGATTAGTCAATATATTCTCAGGAAGTCTAGATTCAAGCTTGTTAAAATCATGATCCCTAGGCCTGACAACCACATAGGATTAAAGTCTTGCGTAAGTACACGTAGGAGAATATCTTTTCAAGAACAGCAGGGTCATGATTTCGCAAGCATCCCTAGATAGAATAGATTCTAATTATATGTACATTGTAATTCAAAACATGGCACCGGGACAATAAGGTTTAAGAATTTTCTTTTCCACCCGGGAGGCCAATAT